TATATATATATTATTTTTTATCTTCGCTCCCTATTTTTTCGACAAAGAAAATATATGCAAACTGTTATCTTCATTCAATGCATATTAACATTCTTGAGAAAAATTACTTCAACTTGATCACATCCAAAATATATAACGTAAAATTCAAAATCAAGTTAAAATGCCTTAAAAATTCAAATACCTATATCTTAAATAAATATAAATCGCTATCATGCTTCATTTTGATCATATAAACAATCTATTTAAGATATGAATATTACGCGATACTTATGCAATTAAAATCTCATTACATAAATACAAGGAAGAGAAGAATCTTATAAAATATCTAAAATTATCTAGGTCTTTTGTTTGGTGGTGGCATAAGATCCGAATCATCTTGTACAAATCTATATTTCTCGATAAATTCCAAAAGTCGCTCTTTTGTAACTGGCTTGTTAATACTTTTGTACACAGAATCGGCGGTATTATGTGAATTAGGAAACGATTTGTCAATTCGTTGACGCATGAAGATCCATTGACCATTGTCAAATTTACACTCAATAATCGCATTATCTAATTCTTTGAGTTGCTTAGTAAGTTTTGGAAGCACGCCATACGGCGTTTTCAGTCCACCCACATAAAGATGCCCGACTTTTCGCGGCAATATTCCTACGCCCGTTTCCGTAACAATTTTGAGTCGAAAGTCAACAGAATTCAATGATTGCGGTTTCCATTTTAAAACCTCCGGAGATACTCCCGTACAATATTTTTCCTTGGCGGGCTGAAATATCAAACCGTCTGGTTCGTGAGAGAGCTGCTTAGCGAATTTCTCGCCTAATAAATCTTTGCTTAACGTTACATCCCAGAAATATTTTACTCGCACTGAAAAGGGTTCTCGTTCCTTCAATAATCGTCCCTCCTTCATAGCTTTCAGCCTACCGGCGATTATTTTATTTTCGATAATGGAATAACGGTCGGGATGAAACATTAATTTACTAACGTCCTGCCCATCATACATAATAACATCATATACTAAATATCTAGGAATATTCTTGCCCTTGTCTTTGTCGATCACCATTTCCTGTAAATAAAATTTAAATTTCTGTAAATTAAACGATTCTGTGGAAAATATAGCTTTAATATTTTTTACAATTCTAGAAAATAAATATTAATGAAACTATAACTTACACCATCCATTAGAGTATCTCTCAGACATCTATTTATGTCTCGCACATGTGGAAATTTCAATCCATTTACTTCAAAAACGCTATTATCTCTATCTATGAAATACACTTCTCTGTCTCCTTGTACTAGCATCATGTACCTAAGCAAATCCAATGTATGAGTTTCAATATTCTTTTCGTTTTAATAGATATTTAATTTTTAATTAACCTTGTGCCATCTGCCTTCCAGGATACTCTATATGGCTTTGTGTGCAATAACATTATATTATCAACATCCATGGATATAGGTTGGGAACCGGGAAATCCTGTAGACTTCCAGCCACAAATTTCTTGGACTCGCTTTTGAATTCCTGACAGTCTCATTTTCTCTAAAATAGGTGTAACACCAGGCACACCTGGCATAAATATCGGATTCTTATTATTAAATTCACGTCTCCTTTTCTTGCCTTGCCCTTCCTCATAACATGAATTTTCATTTTCTGTGCTCGGTCCCTCGTCCGTATCCTCAATGTTCGAATCATCAAATTCCAAACACCACGATGGTCTCGGTGGTGGAGGAGGAGCATCTTCCACATCGTCATATCGCCTGTATAACTCCTTTATATAATCATCTTTGTAAATTCCAGGAGGTCTCACAGTGGCAAACTCGGCTAATGCAGCATCAACGCTGCTACCGTCTATTTCCACTAAGTAACTGATTACGAGGAATCCAGTTCTATTAAAACCATGCGTGCAATGCACACCGATGATCTCCAGTGGATTGTGCGCAATAAAGTTTCTGCATACCTGCACAAAGGTATGGGTCTGCTCTTCC